TGGCCATTGCTGGTAGAAGGTTGCTTTTAAGAAAGACTTCTTGTGGAAAGATAGAAGGTCCTTCTGATGGCTGTGATGGTAATGTCTTTCTTAGGTGTCTTCTCACTACAAGCTGTTTTTTCCAGCTATTTCACTGTGTCTCTTTATGTATGTGCCATGAAGGTTAAATTCATGGACCCTAGCTTTAGAGTCCATTGTATATTTTGGAATCAATATGCGTGTGGAGTATGTGCAAAGCAAGGCCCTCTCCATCCTGGATTCCAAAGCTCAGCCCATGCAGGCACCCACCTCCACTGTCTGATGGTTTCATGATTTTCATCATCTTATGCCATGCACAGGATCACAAGAGGAGAAGGGGAATGGACTCCCTATGTTAGTGCCAGCCAACACACATGATCCATACAGTGCCCTGCCTCATCACCAACCATGCTCTAGACTCCCCTGGACAGCACAACGCAGATGTAGACTCATATACGCGTTGTGGCAGGGGTAATGTGATTCCTCTGAAATCTTCTTTGACCAGCATCTGAGATTTTTTCAGTGCCTGATTTGCCCCTTCATTATAAAGCTACCTTAAATAACATTTTTGGGTGGTTTTACTTCCAGGAAGCTAGAGAAAGCAGAAAGGCTCTCTTCCTGCCAAATTATAATACAAAAAATAAATGCTCATGTATATATAAAGCAAGGAAACTTGAATAAAATCTCATAGGTCAGTACTTCTCCCTTGTTCACCTTGATGCATGAAGACAGTCCATGTAAAATATTATTACCTGAGGCTGGTCTCATAACTGAAGAATGTAAAAAGTGCTGGGCTGGCATATTGAAATTTTATATCTCATCTTTCATACCATTTCTAACTGATGCATTTGGTTTTGTTCTTTTCAAATAACATTATTTTAATAATGAGTTACATGGCTCCAGAAAGCAGTTTGAAGGGCACTGAGAGCTCCTTTGAAGAAAAGTGTCATCTTGAGATAAATCAATTATATTATTTTATAAATATTTGAATAGCTGTAAACTACCTATATTGAGTAAAACATGATCACTGTCTAGAGAGACCGTTGTTGATTTTATCAGCTTCAATATATGTTAGTAGTAAATCTTCAGAGAGAAATTAATCTTAAAAATGGTGTCGATCTGGGTGAGCATGCCACCTTCAAACATTGGTGGCTCAAGATACAAGTTGGATACTTCAGCCTTTTCCAAATTAAACAAAAATCAGCCTTGAAACCAAGAACCTCATTTTACTTAAACCTACATTTTACCGGTTTATGTGGGTTGGTTTGGGTTTGTTTTTTTCCCCCACCCTTTTGAATCTATATTTGTTTAATTATTCTTACTTTAGAGGAAAAACAAAGACCAAAATGTGACTGTAAATTAGTGACAATTAGCCATTAGATTAGGTAGTAGAATTGCTGCTGTCATCTTCAGTTGATTTCTTCCTGGCCAATTCGAGCAATTAAAAATGCGTAAAATAATGTATAGTCTTTTCATAAAATATGTTAGCACTTACGGAAGCATCTCTTAAAAATCAGCCCTTCTCTAGTAAGCCAAGAGTGTTGAGTTGAGAAGAAGGACTATTAGCAGCTTACCTGAGTCCATCTGTGGCAGTGTTATGAATAAAAGCAGAATACTTCAAATGAAGTTCACATGTCTCTGGAAATGGGTTTGAAGAGGGGAAGCGTCAAGGGAAATGTTGACAGATATTTAATTATAATGGCAGTAGTGGCTGTTGCAGTGTTAATAGCATCTGGCAGCAGAGTCACTGCCATCTGTTAATGCTCGGAAATTCTGAATACAGTGCGTCCTTTATGGAGGAATTAACAATAATTAACAAATCTATCAAATGAAATCACCTTGATTTGATCACAGCTTTATCTTGATAATGATTAATTGCAAAATAATGGGAAGTAAAATGTCCACTATTTGCCTTTTTACCGTAGACTAGCTCATGCTGCTGTCCAGGTACAGCATCCTGGAGGGTTTACTTTTAAGCTTCTGTTGTGTTGTATCATTTACTGCATTTACTTTAAATAATCCCTATAAGCAGGACTAGATTAAAAACAAACTTTTGCATATTAATTTCAATTTGCAGTAGATTATGTCTCTTAAAACAGTTACAGTTCTGTTGATGCATGGTAACTTATTTAATGTTAAATAAGGGAGAAAAAGAGGTTAGACTGAAAGAAGTGACCTTTCAATCAAAGTCAAGTCAACCTGGAAGAGCAGTATGACTGCATTAAAGCATTTGGGTTTGGTTTTGTTTGTTTTTTGGGTTTTTTTTTATGCTCAGTAATAGAATCCAAACCATTAATTTCTGATGAGTCAGTTTGTCTTCAAAGTGATGTGGAAAAAAATATTTTTTTTGTTTGTATTTGGAAGAATTATTTTTTAATATCTATTTTTATTGAAGCCAATATTTCAGTCAGTGCAATGAAATTTCACTGCTGTAAATAATAGCTATAAACAAATCAACAAGCCAGTTCCAGACCTGGTTGGATTTTATTTTTCTCTTAACTCTTTTTCTGTTTGTTCCTGCTGGGCAACAGATGGAGAAGGTAACATACTTTCTGCTCAAATAGAAGAATTGTAAGTAGTAAGTAATGGAGGTGTGTTAATTATCAGAAGCAATAGGAGGAAAAGAGCAAATTCGGGGATCTTGGAGTCAAGTAAACTGGAATTTCCAGGTTTTTTTCATATGTGAGTCAAGTAATATTCTGAATATTGCCCTGGGACCCACAGAGAGAAGGCAACATATATTTTTCGTGTGTCTTTCTATTTGTTCCTAAGTGACAGAAGTTTCTTTAGGTTGGGATTTGTGCCAATTCCAGCTACCAATAGGGCTGCACTGACACCAAGCCACAAACTGAGGTGTGGAAAGCCACCTTTGCACTTTCTTGATTTATCACAGCTCCCAGCGCAGGAGCTGTAATTCAGAACTTCCCTTCCCTTTTAATAAGGCAGTGGATTCACATGAGTTTCTTGCTGGTGAGAGGTTTGTGTCTCCAGGGTGACAGTATGCAGAGACAGAAGGTGGACCAAACTTGTGTTGTGGTAGGTGGGAAGGAAGTGCCACAGCTGCAGAACTTGCCGACGGTGGACCATCAAGATGTACCATTTCACATATGTAGTGCAGACCATTCCCAGTTTCTGCCTGAATTGTGGCAAACAAACTGGCGGAGCAGATTTGAAGATGAAGTCTCATCTGGTGCGTGAGGTTGGGATTTAGCTGATTTCTGGGTGTGGTGTCTTCTCCATGAGGCATATCCTTCTCTCTTTAGTTTGCTTGAGAACTGTACAAGTTTGCTTGACAGTTGTATGAGTACACAGTCATCATATGACTATGTAGATGCATGTTTACCACATGTACAACATGCATGTACATAGTAATCTCCATTTAACGCTGTTAAAATTAGAAGATTCTTTGAAAGCAAGTGGTTTTGTCTTCTGCTGCTTTGAGTCGACATCATTGGGTCATGGGCAGGCAGTGGCTGGTAGGATGTAACAAACATGGAGATACATAGAGATATTTGTTAAGGCTTAGAAAAAAGGCTTGTTTCTCTTTTACTATTATTTTCATGCAAGACACTGTTTTCCGTTTAGGAGGATTAGAAAATATGTATTAAACAGTGTTAAATATGCTGAGGCAGTTATGTTTACAGCCCTTGTAGAATTATTCATTAAAAAATTAACTGCTAGACAGCCTCTTATTTTTTTAGATTCAGTGGTTTAGTAGCCCTCTTAAAAATTGTGTTGTGTGATTCAGACATTCGAAGACTAAATAAGACAAAACAAAACCACCAAAATTGCCTACAAAAGCACTAATTCATAGAATCATAGAATATAGGGTTGGAAAGGACCTTAAGATCATCTAGTTCCAACCCCCCTGCCATGAGCAGGGACACCATACACTAAACTCTGTTGCCAAAGCCTCTGTCCAGCCTGGCCTTGAACACCTCCAGGGTTGGAGCATTCACAACTTCCTTGGGCAACCTATTCCAGTGCCTCACCACCCTCACTGTGAAGAACTTCTTCCTTATATCTAACCTGAACTTCCCCTGTTTAAGTTTAAACCCATTACCCCTTGTCCTTGGGTTTGCTTCTGTTAAATTGTCATGTGTATGGTGTGCCTAAGAAATTCAGATGGATTTGTGGAGAAGGTGAGCTGTAACACAGTGCTGGGAAGCTCTGGGAGGGGCCATATCCTTCTCTGGGTTTTGCATACAATAGATATGTGTGTGCACTAAGCTTTGGTTTACAGACATTTTTGACATGAGGACAAGATGTTGCCTTGAAGCGCTGGTTCTCAACTGAATTCTTTTCCCTCCCCATGACTTTTTTAAGATGTTTTTAATGGTTCTTTTCTTCTGTGGAGGACATGGTTGTGTTCCTGCATATAAAATACTCTGGTTTGTTTCTTGGCCCCCTTGTGTCCAGTTTTCTGGCTGAGCAGGTCAAGTCTGCCATTGCTGCTCTTCTTACTGGAATGTTCAATGTATGCTTTCTCCCACATATGGTATTCCACATGATGCTGAGGTTTCTCACCTTTCTTCTGAGCAAACCTATAGGTCTGGGGTGATCTGAGGTTCTGTCTTTTCAATGCTTTGCCTTGCGCTGTTAAGGGTGCCACTTGGTGTTATTATTGATACGACTCTACAAGGAGCCAAGCTGCAGCTGCAGGCCTCGTTTTCCACAGACCACAGGAGAGTTATTAACCAGCGCGGTGTTTGATAGCTGCATGTCCCAGACAGATTTTGCCTGGTGACCCAGAGGCAATCCCCCAGGCCATCAAGCCAGTGACATTTAAAAATTGCCTGCCTGGGGTCACTGCATCGTATTGCCTTTAATTTTGTTTTCAATTATCTTTTCTTACTCAGTTGTACAGGTAGAAGAGGCTGAACCCATCAGAGTGTGACACCATGATGACAAATGCCTGTCGCACTTTGTGTGCTTCATAAATACTGATGGTATCTTTGTTGTGTGTGTTTTGTGTGTTTCAGGAAAAAAGTGCCAGTTCAAATGCAAGACTTAAATCTAATAAAGAGATCCCAGGATTAGTACATCAACCCAGAGCAAAGTAAGTTCATGGGTTTTTTTTTTTTGTTTTAATTGTAATACAGATAAACACAGGATTAAGCAGTATTTGTGAGATTCACGATTATTGCCTAGTGAAAACCAACTGGTGGTTCCAGTAGCCCTAAAACCATGCTCAATTTAAAATAGGTATGGTCACCTGTGTTCTGAGACCAACAACACAGCTGGACAGTACTTGTGCCAGCATCCCGGCAGCATCCTCTCGTTTGCACAGCTAAGAGGCAGGACTTAAAATTGCATGAGATGCATCTTGCCATGCCTTATATGAATACCATACTGTGTTATTTCTCAGCTTTCTATACAACTTACACATAACAAAAAACTCTATGTGCAGTAGTAATAGTATCATTTAAGTTCCCAGGAAAGTTTTTGCTAGCTCTTGCCTTAGATTAGCAGCTATACTGCCTAGGATTAGGAATGGTAAACTTCATCCATTGAAAATTGTCAATTTGTTTCTTAAAATGAGGATTGTTTTTAACTGATATTTTTTTCCATCCTTTGCTTGCTGTTCTGTGCCTGTACCTTGGCTGAGATCAATCACCATTACATATGCCATGAAATATTCAACTCCTGTGACATAGCTGGTCATTGATATTAGTAACTCATTTCTTATCTAAATCACCATTACATTTTAATCACTAATTGGATTGAAAATAACAGATTACATGGAGACATGTATCAGGTTCATAACGAAGAAGCTATAAAGCTTCACTGCTGGATTTTTAACAATAGCAGAAATGCTGTTCTTTATGCTGTGCCTTTGGGGCACTTACTGACTTAAACTTGCTGCATACCAAGTGCATAGTACACAGTTTCAAGTCTGGAAACTTTAGTAGTTTTCTAATCAACTGACAATATAATTCAGATTCCTTTCAAAAGGAAAAATGGAGTGCTTCAGATGTAATTGCAAAGAAATTCACAGTATGGAGGTGGAGGTACAATCACCCTTCAGCAAAGCTGTACTTCATAATTGTGGCTTGGTCCTTCCCAGCAGGGTCAGAGATGTATTCAAGATGCTCTAACAGGAGGCTAATGAACCTGGGCTTAAGAAAGGGCTGTTTCTTTTGATGGGTCATCTCTTCTAGTGCATCCAAGGCAGAGGAACTGCATGGGGTCAAGGGGTCCTTTCTTTCATCAAAATCTGATTTTTTTAAAATCTCCACGGAAATCAGAACTGACCTTCTTTCACCAAAAAACCTAAAGACATTGCATTGGCAAAGGTAAATGTTTCTGTCACAGTCCTGCAAAAATACGGAAACTTCTCAAAGTAACAGAATGTAACATCAAGTTGTTGCATAAAACCTCCATTGTTTGCCCAAGCCTCTGCTGTTTACCCAACCTACCATTGGGTTTCTGTTTATAAAGTGGCTACATGTGTTTGAGTTGCTAATCACCAAGCCAGCAAATATCTGTTATCATGTGCAATTTTTTTTTTAGGTTTATCATCTAAAAACCATGACAGTTCTGACTGCAAGGAGGAGTGGCATTGGATGGCAGCTAAAAGAGCAGAAATTAAATAGATAAATCATTAGATGCATCTTGTAGGACCATTCTTGTAGAACAGGTGGTATTTCAAAACAAAACATGGATTATGTACCAAATGATGAGTTAATTTACAATGGAGGGAGTTTTAATATGCTGTAAAAGTAAGATTGTGGGGGCTCTTCCTGTTTGTATAAGGATTTAGATTTTTACGTCCAGAACCTGGACTCTAGAAACAGTGTATGTAGGGAGCCAGTTTTATGTATGTCTTGAAAGAGGCCAAGAGATTGGTCCTTCACCTTTATACTGCATCCTGATACCTGCCGTACCTTCATGAGGCTTCATTCCTGCCCCGACCTCTCAGATGCTTACTGTGTTTGCTCATCCTCAAAACTGCTGTGTGATCAAGTATGCCACATCCAGTACATGCAGACATGTTCATAACTCATGAAGTAACTGCAGCCTGAAGCATAAAATGAAAATAGTATTTGATACCATTTTTACCTTCCTAAATCACAAGCTCACAGAATGGTTTGGGTAATCATAGAATCATAGAATGGTTAGGGTTGGAAAGGACCTTAAGATCATCTAGTTCCAACCCCCCTGCCATGGGCAGGGACTTCTCACACTAGACCATGTTGCCCAAGGCTCTGTCCAACCTGGCCTTGAAGACTGCCAACGATGGAGCATTTACTGCTTCTTTCGGCAACCTCTTCCGGTGCCTCACCACAATCGTCATAAATAATTTCTTCCTTGTGTACAGTCTAAACCTACCCTCTTTCAGTTTAAAATGGTTGCCCTGTGTCCTGTCACTACAGGCCCTAGTAAAATGTCTCTCTCCATGTTTCTTATAAGGCCCTTTAGTATATCGAAAGGCCACAATAAGGTTTTCCTGAAGCCTTCTCCACACTGAACAACCCCAATGCTTTTCTGAAGATCATGGCCTGCACGGGCTTGAAGACCTCCTGTGGGGCTTTTCATGTATATGGCAACATAATACTCAATTTTTTCCCCCTTCATTTAGTTTCCTTATAAATTATGGTTGGGGGGTGTTATCTCATATTATTAGAAACTGAATCTATGATGTTGCAAAGGCAAGAATATCTTTCTACTGCTTACCTACCCAGAAAGGGCTGTACAGTCCTAAGGTCCTTCTCCAAGACAACTGAATATCCAGGCGATGGGATCGGCTACCCCAAACAAACATCTTTTCCCCATCTCAGATGTAGATGAGAACCTGAGGGACAGGCAGACAGATGGGGGCAAAAAATCCCACAGCCACTGAAAACCGAATTGTTTCCTTTCTTGAATTACCAGCTTTAGGTTTTAATGCCACTTTTGAGACCTTCTTTTCTGAAACTGAGCCTTCATTTATGTCCAGCATAAGCAAATCATTGTATACGTTCATCCCGATAGCAAGTGAAGTATGAACGCTGAGCTTTGTAGGGTAGTGCATCATGTTGTTGGGCACTCAGAAAAAGTACTGTTCATTAACAGCTGAAAGGATCATGCAGAGGGAGAGAGGACTGGGGTGGGAATATCTCCAAGATTATGTCCTTCTAACCATTTGGCATCACTGTTACCACTGCCACCAACCTCCCATTCTTCCTTTTTTGCAAAATCATATCACTAACCCTGAGCCTCTTGGTGCTGCAGAACTATAATTGAAGTGAATCATCTGCTGGGTCTGCTTTGGCAGCAGTAAGGACTACCTGTCTGGGAGGGAAGGACCAGCCTAGGCTTGTAGACATTTCTGGGTGTTGAGTGCAGAGCCTAGCTGTATAGCAGGGCACAACACATCTTCCAGTGCAAGGCTTTAACCTCGCATCTCATTGTAGGCATCTCATTTTGTGGTGGTGAGATTGGCAGTCTTGTAAAACCATCTCTCTTGATACAGAAAAGGCTCTCATTGGCCCAAGAAAAGGCAGTGGGCTATAAGCTTTCTGCAGTCTGTCTGGAAAAGGGAATAGTTTCCTCTGGATGCATGTGGGTCCTAGTTACCATCCGAAGTGTAGCATGCGTACACTGAAGTAAATGCGGTAATTTTTCTATGGGCAACCAAAAAAAGGGGAAAAAAATAAAAAAATGTAATTGTAGATGAAAGTGAAAACTATTTTGCATAGTGGTGAAAGCTTACAGCTGGCCCCTAGACAAACCTGGACTGCAGCATCAGTATTTTAAAATCGAATAAGTCCTGTTGGTACTCATACTGTTCCTTTGCCTTTCAGCATGCACATCTCTGAAAGCCAACAAGAGTTCTTCAGAATGCTTGATGAAAAAATTGAAAAGGTAAGACACAATAAAGTAAATGTACATTTTCACTCAGGGGTAGGCACACAGGTTTTCTGGCTCCATGAGGAGGACAACATGACACTGCCTGTTGCAGTGCTTCATGTTCTCCACTACTTAGAGGGGCTCTAGTCTGAGATCCCCCTTGGTTAGATAAAGCTTGTTGGTCAGGTAATTCAAGTGCAAAAAGACAAAAAAAGTAAAGAGGTTACAGGAAGTACTGGAGAGAATCCTTTGTTTTGTGGAAGCATCAAAAGTCTAGGATGAAGGGCAAATTAACCTACTGGATAAAGGAGGAGAAAAAAGTGGGGTCTTACGCCTTTAGTGATTTGCTCTTTCATTTAACCTCTATGGGAGACAACTGGAATCTTAATGCCAGTAGTATCTGGGATACCCTTCTAATTTCTTGCAGAATCTCTTCAGAATACCTCCCAGCTCCAAGAGATAGTGTAGCTGTATGTGCAGATAACCCTGCCTCAAGACATACACTGAGTAAAATAAAGACGCTGGAGATGTTTTGAAGAAGAGGTTGCATGGTTCTTTGCATATCTCATCTCATTGTCTGATAGCAGCTTTCACGTGTTTCACAGGTCTTTAAAATAAGAATCTCAGTTTTTGTGAGATAGTAGAAAATAATTGTATCTCAACATAGATGGGAAACGGAGACTTAAGGAATTAAATGAGCTACTTGGATCAAGTCTAGAGCTCAGCTGTTGTTTATACTTGAGTTGATGTTCACTCACCAATATACTCTTTACACTTAAGATTTTGGAATGGTGTATCTTATTTAATAGTAGATAATACTAGATACTTGCTTCCCCAATTACAATGAAGTAATTTGTACTCCCAAGTTTAGACTAGACATTAGGAAGCATTTCTTTACTGACAGGGTGGTCAAACACTGAAACAGGCTTCCTACAGAGGTGGTCAATACCTGAGTAGAAGTGAGGAGGAGTCCAGTATTTCACAGGGTTAGGAACTCACTTGACCTATATGCATTTAAGAATTTCTACATATCCATAATACAGCTGCATCTCCTTTGAATACATTCATTCACCCTGTATTTTGCTGGGTGAATGCATTTTGCTGCTGCTTTTCCTGGACATCACCACTTTCCATAATGTCGAACGCAAAATCTCCAGTGAAATGGATTTTCCAAAGATCTCTGTTATCTACAGACCAGAACATCTGATGGCTGTATCTAATTATGAATTGAGGTCAAGTTTTTTGGTTTTGAGATTTGTTTCAGGACAGTAATACCGTTCACTCACCAGCTGCCACACTGAGATGCAGTTGACTGTGTCTCCTCGCTGTTTGGATCATACTCTCAGATGCTTACAGGTGTTCTACAGGGCTCTTACACTAATTTATCTTGTAGATCAGGAGATTACCTATTTAGAGCAAATACATGGGTTTATCTATCAAGGATAGGGAGACAGCTCTCATGCATTTCAAGCTACTGACAGTTGATGAGATTGGCAGGAGTTAATGCACAGCTGAACGTGGGATTTCCTTTCTCTGGGGACCTCCTGTGCCTAAGGAAATAGTGTCCTAAGAGAATTTTGGCATTTTTTTAATTAATCTTTGCCCACAATACATTGTTTTTCTAGGTATCTGCCACAAGTGCCAAAAAGATTGGAAAATATGAGGGGGTTTATTTGATCCCTAAGTAGCATTTTGAGTCCCTTCTTCAGGGAAATGGAGGACAGCAGTCAAACAATTAGAAGAACTGTATCACTAAGGAGCTTGCCAGTTACAGCTGAAATAGTCTGCAGGAGTGAGGGACATTGCCTATGGTCGGTGAGGTCCCAAACATGTTGTAATGTTCACATGGTAACTGTGGCCATGAGTAGTGCTGGATTTGTAATGGGGGCACATTGTCCACCACTGACTCCATGGGCTGTGTCTACAGAAACTCTGTAGAACAGAGAAATTTCAGCTTGTGCTGAAATCCCAAGGGGCATTAGGTCACATAATACAAATAAGTGACAACAACTCTAACATGCATGCTGTAAATTAGAGAGGAAAATTAAATGGGTATTTCAGACTCATCAAAACAAAACAGGAGAGTCAACTAAAATAGAATTTTTGCAATCAAAGTGTGAAATGGAAAGAACACAGGTTGATGTTTTAGCAACTGAAAATACGAAGTATTTATGAATCCTGGAGATCAAAAAAAGACTTAATGAAACAGTCTGGAGAATTTCTCTGAAAGTCTAATGCCTGTTGGTACCCAGCACGCGCCTGTGTTCCTGGCTGCCTGTGCAAAGCTGAACTGCCTTCTGCAAATGCAAAGGTAAAAGCCAGAATGTCAACCCCAACGCATGGAGCTGCTGTCTACCAAAATTTGGTGTCAAAACACCGGGAGATATTCAGAAGGAGACATCTGTTCCTATCCCTGTGTGAGTGTGTGTTCCTGCTAAGAGAGCTAGAGCTGAACTTGCACGTATGGAACTGTGTGATTATAGTACTTCGATTCATACGGTTTGTTGGAAGGAAAAAGTGCTGGAACAAAGTCTTGAAAATGAATGCTGAGGTAGGGCTGACTGAGAATGTAAAAGTCAGACTCACAATAGGGTTAGATATTGATTCTACTAGAGTCAACCCAGAGGCACCAAAATCTGAAGAAATCCCATTAATTGAACAGGATGTCTCAGAGCAGAGAGTTAATCCTGGACACAGTCTTTGCAGGCTCAAGTCCATAGACTTGAGGGAGCCCTCTGCCACCAGGGCTTGCATGAAAATATGAAATAAAAGCAAAATTAAAAGCTATGATGTATGTGAAGTGGTGAATGCAGAAAATTTACCCCATTTAGCATTTGCTAGTGAAAACATATTGATGACAGCTATCATGGAGAACGGTCTGAAAAATTAGTGTTTTCTCTGACTTCTACATACAGAGCAGTGAAACAATCATCAGAAATTATTCCTTTAAGTATATATTATTACTGTAAGCCATGGCACAGTGTGTAGGCAGCTGTCTCACTGTAGGAAAAAATACCAGGGCTAAGGTATAATTGAACAGTTGACCAGCAATTTCTAGGATTGTATCTGGGGATTGTACCCCCAGAAGAGAAGCATCCCTGGCTTTGTGGTTTAAAAAAAACAAACCCAAAACAATCCAAGTAAAACTGTATAACTGTATGAGAGGAAACCCTCACTGGTGCCATCATCATAAGCTATTTCCTACATAGCTACAGTGGTTTGTAAACAATAATCACAATGCAAACATGCTTGTGAAAAAAAAATGAGATTAAGAAATGTATGTGAAGATGTCTTGCTACAAACTCACGTGACTGGTGGATATCCTGAGCCTGGGGCATTGTGTTTCCACTGCCACAGGGGATGTTGCTTTGGGTCAAGAGATAACTTGGTCTTGATCACCAGCACTGGTGTCAGAATGGCTTTGCAAGAGTTTCTCTGCCAATCACATACCTGGCCACTGGGAGCCAGGTTGGAGACTACCAATTTGTTGTTGGAGGCCATGGAAGGGATGCCTGGCGGCAGCTTGCTTCATCTCCTCGTTAGTAAAACTGGGCATGAAATGCAGGAGGAAGACACAATGCAGCTCCTTGTATCGTATTTAAACACTGCTGTTAGAAAAAAGGGGGTTGCTAACTGAAACGTATGCAAGGGTGGAATTACTAGCCTAAAACTCATTAGCAAAGTGGATTGCTCTTAATGACTCCATTGATTTTTCTCTAACAAAATCAGAAACGGACAAAAATTAGCACAGTATACAATTATTTAGTGCCGCCTCTCAGCGTTTTCTTCCCATCCTTTCTGTGAGCACTGTAAACAAAACCAGATTGATGAAAAGGGTTCCCACCACAGAGCCAGGCTAACGTTTCCCAGCATCAGCCATCTCCTCTGAAAGGGGCCACTGTGTCCCACAAGCTCTTTCAGCCATCGCAGAAGAAAGGGCTGCTTGGTGCAGCTCATTTTTCCTCTCCCAGGCCGGCCGGCCTCCTCTTCCTCCTCTCCAAGCCAGGGCCATGGTGTGAGGATGCTGGTGCCAAGCTGCAGAGCTGTGGCGGAAGAAGCGTCTCCTTAGCTGCCTTCTCTCCCTCGGCAAGTCCGCCAGCCACACAAAAGGCTTTTGAAGTGGGAAGGCTTCTGCATTCCTGTGGCATGGAGTTTTGTTTATTGGCCTGTCACCCGCAACAATGGGAGAAAGGGCTTTTCCTGTGATTCTTTTTTTCTTTTCTTTTTTTCTCTAAAAGGATATCACCAGCCATGAAGCATTCCCTGGTAGGGGCATCAGGATGGTAGATGCAGCAAGAGGAGAGAGCAGGGGAATGAGCCTTTCTGGTTTGGGTGCACGCAGCAGTAAAGGAGCATAAGGCCTTTTTAAAATTACTTTAAAGTCACACACTTGTGTTAAGGTGTTTCTGAGAACATCTACAAAAGTTGAAAGTTGGATTTTGAAACTGCAGTGGAGGAAGACAGGATTTTTTGGGAATTACCTGGACTTGGATGGATGCATGTGTTCCCGCTCTCATCTTCCTTGGTGCAGTTCATTTACACTCCCAATCATTAAAACTTATTTAAAAGAGCCCCATGCTATTAAGGGCTATTAAAGGGTGGCCCATGCAGCTCTGTTATTTGCTGCCTGCTCTGTGCCTGTGGCTTCTCTGCATTCAGGAGCCTGCTCCCCTGGGCAGCAGGGACAGGGTTTGGTCAGCACCCTCATTTTCCATCCACAATTCTGCTCTATTTGGGGGGGTTGTCACCTCTCTGGTTTCTTCCTTTTCTTCCTGACACAGACATCTGCTCTCCCAAAAAACCCACAGGGCACTTTATTCCTTCTCTGATCTTTCTGAGGAATACTCACCTTGTTATTACTGATAAAAATTTAATTAGGGAGTAAGCGTTAGACAAAAGGTTTTATCTAAAAAGAAAAAGAATACAGGGGATTTTTAACTCTTTTTTTGGGCTTCCTTGTATTGTGGTTTCTCTCAGGAGGATGAATACCCACTGCTGTAAATACCCATTGCTCAAGGAGATCTCGGTTATCACAAGCCCTCCTTCAAGAAGATGCTAAAGCACCTGTCAGCTTTCTGCTCATGAGCTGCTCCAGGGCTTAAGTGCTGTTTCCCTTGTGTTTAAATACAAGTATGTGTTTAACCCTGCCGAACTGGGCCAGGACACTTTAGGCCTTGTTGGGCTGAGCCCCACGTTGTTGTTTGTGCTGGGATTAAATGCTGGGCACATGTTGGTGTACGTCTTTGCAGTGTAGCCGGGGCAGTGGGTGTAGGAGAGCTGCAATGGGTGCAGGACTATGTGCAAACTGGGTGTTTGCTGTCACAGCTGATCCCCACCCCTGACAAGCTAAACTAACTTGCCAGACCAGGGTGGTCCCACAGGTTGTGTTGCATCCCACTACTGAGAAGGATGGATGTGGCCCTTCTTTCTCCAGGTAAAGAAAAGCAACAGCTTCTTAACTTGCCAAAAATCCCAAGTGAAAGCAAACCTCCCAATTTTGCATGCAAGCTGCCAGCCCACCGTGCCTTTGCTGCGACATGGTTCTTGGTGTGTAACAAATGGATCCCTTCCCCTGCTTCGCAGCAGGCTCCTCCATGTGGTACGGTGACAGAGAGGGGAAGGGGATGTGAAGTCTTCAGCCAGCTGCTCAGTGGCTGCAGGAGCCTGTTATGGTCCCCCTCTCCCTCACCACATCTTCCCCTTCCCACCAGCTGGTGCGTTGGCAGGGCCACCCCTTCTGAAGGAAGTGCTGGTGCAAACCTTCCCTGCAGAACAGCACAGCAGGCTGGGGCTGCAGCGGGGCTCCTTGCCTCACTGTCAGGTGTCACCGCAGCTTAGGCATCAGGTGAGCTGGTCCGTGCCGGGTGCAGTGGGTGGGGGAGCCTGTGTGTCACACTGCAGGAAGGGGTGGGAGGTGTTCCTGGTGTTTGTGACAGCTCTCGCCCTCCTCCCCGTCTCGGCTGTGCTGCCGCTGCCCACACGGCAAGGAGCAGGCTGGCAGGAAGCTTGGTGTGGTGACAGCTCCCTGCCCACCAGTGACCAAGGTCTATGGCTCTGAGGCCATCCTTGAGACACCAACATGTCTCCATCCCCACTGGTGTAAAGGTGGAAATAAAGTGCCTGGCAGCAGCAGCCTGGCTCTCGACAGCCTTCAGGCAGCGGGTGAGAGGTGGAATTTCCACACTTTGGCAAGGACTTCTTCAGCATGTTGCTTTTTAAGCAGTTTCTTGGCAACCTGTTGAGGAGCGATGCACTTGGTTGCCAGAGAGCAAACCCAGAAGCAGAATGGCAGGAGGAATGGGCAAGAAAAAGTGCAGCGCAGCTTTCTTCCATGTTTTGGGTCTGTTTGAGCCTTTAATAGCACTGATGGCCACTGGTGTGGAGCACTGTGGGGAATGCTCTACCATGGTTCTCTCTCTTAAGCAGGAGGCTGGGGAACCAGGTAAATGAATCTCCTCAGTCATCATTTACCACAGGTGGTTCTCACAGCTCTTGAAACATGTTGGACAAAGCCTTCATCACCACCAGCTTAGTCTCATGTTTTTTTCTGAATGCGTTGTGGTCCCTGGCGTAGAAAAAAACAATTGATTTGGGCTTCTCCGCCAAGTATTTTGGTATTCCTTCTGAGTCAGATATTTTACTTGAAAAAAATTTATGTTTTTCTTTCTGGGTCAGTGGTTGCTGAATTGAATTTTATTTTTTTTTAACATGCTAAGAAAGCCCTTTTGCTAATAGCACTGGGCCACAGAGAGCTGTTAAAGCACTGCACGTTCCTGGGTGTGAACCCTCCGGCATAGTGGGCTCTGCAATCCCAGTGTTGTCAGTGGGATTTTAAATGCAGAGACATTTTGGAGCCTCTGTTCCTGACAGGTACCCCAGCTGTACTCCTAAAGAAACTGATCGCTCCATCAGGACGTATCTCTTCCTTGTCTTTTTTCACTCTTTTCTCCTGACACTCTTCTCAAGACAGGTCAGTGACTGCTTTGATTGTGGGGCAGCTGCGTACCCCACCTTGGCTGAGTGGAGCTTCACCCATTTTACTGTTGCTTAGTTGGTCTTTTCTGCTTACAGGGTGTTATGAAGCTTTTACATGCTATTGCGGGGCTGAGACCTGTGTTTCTTGTTTTCTTCTTCTTTGCCAGCCTTTTGGTCAGTTGCTGGAGTTTTCCGTGCAAGCTCTTGGGATACACTTGACACATGGGAACAATGGGAAATAGTCCAGAGGTTGAGATTTTTGGTACTACATTTGAGGCACTTGTTTTATGCAGGGTATCTTGGGTGGCTTGTGTGCTGAAAAGCTCAGATCCAGCTGCTTCTGTGTAGAGAAACAAGGACAGTGGGTCCTGTTAGTTCCTATTCTTGCCACTTCACAACAGCTAGTGAGGGATGTGACATACCTTCTCTAGACCTTTCTGAGGGTAATACCTAGATAGGTGCTGCTGCAAGTCTTGTGTTTGGGATGGAACAGAAGGCATAACATGACTGGTCTGTTAGAAGTCTGTGTTTAGTGAAGCTTAGCCTGTTTGCTCTTACCTTAAACTCTTGCTGAGGTTATCAGATGAGGTATTCTTGTTCACAGCAGCTGGCCTGTGTTGCTCATAGGATTGTGTGCTTCATTTCTTTTGCCTCAGAGAGTATGTTTTCATGGTGAATCTGTACAGTTGTGTCCATCAAGATGTATCTTTACATAAAATAGTTTTATAAAACAGTTTGTTGGACTTGCCCTGGAATTCATTAGAGGGGATGAAGTTTATGAGATTAATCGTGACAGAAAGGGAAGGGTCTTCTATCCTGTTTTCATGCAAACTTTCCAGAGACAGTTGGAGGAGTTGTACAAACTCTGTTCCCTATTTTTAGGATTTCTACCCAGCTCTGAACTTAAATCTCCCAAGTTTAGAGAACTGATATGCATTATTAGTAAGCGCTCCCTTGATTTATGTTACTCCTGTCTTCAAGTAGTCATTTACAAACTGTCTGGCTTTTCTTCTTACAGGGTCGTGATTATTGTTCAGAAGAGGAGGATGTCACATAGTGCCAATTCTGCCACTCACATCAGGAATACTACTGTGTAAATAGATTACAACCCAGTTGAGACCTTTTGGAAGTCTTCTAGAGTGAACAGCACTACATAACAGAAGAAGATAATTTCCACATTATATGCTCCATTCAGTTACAGTGTTTCTTAATGAACAGATGAGGAATATTGCTAAGAACTCGTAAGGAACTGTTTTTGTTGCTGCTAGTTAAAACTTGTTGCAACTTCTCACTTTTTTCTGTGTCCAGATACGCAGCAAATCCTTAAAGTTAATCCAAAAGACGTTGTTGATTTTATTGAGGCTTCTGGCCTGTTTTCTATCAGATGAGGTAGTGTTATACAAAGCTTCCATAAGTGAACATTCAAGCGTCTAAGAAACACCCTTAAGCTGTCTGTCAGTCCACGTTCAGGCCGGAGTGCTTATTAATGCTGGTGATGGCAAGCTTTGGAGATGGGATGTTTTTTGCCATGGCAGGCCTTGTTTCTCTACTGAGAAGAAGTTGAGAAACTATTATTCATTAAAAGCATGTTATCACTGAAATACTGGAAGTGATACAGGAGCAGGAATTTGTATTTTATGAGGAAAAACAGTTTTGTTTAATAGGCATCTTAATCAAGGACTAAGCTTGCAGTATTGGCTTTGCTGAGCACGAATGGGAGAGTGATCACAATCATTTTGAATCTCTTTTTTTCTAAGAAAATAAACATTTTACTGTTTTTATGTATTCTTGTCTTTTACCATTCCTACAATACAATTTAAGAGTCTGGGGACAAGGAAGGCAAAACCAACCCTCTGCATTGGTGAGTCTGTGGGTCTTATCTCTTAAAGTGACACTGCGAACTGGGGGTATCTGTTGTGTAGAGTTTATTTTTCCATATTATTTCCATATGGAGAAGATAATACCTTCTCAAAAGCAGATGTAATATTTTTAACAAATGCTGTCATGAGTAAAAGAAAAAAAAAGAAGGGGAAAAAATACAGCTTTTGCATTTATTATTTGAAAGGAGATTGTTACCTGTGCTGATACTTCTTCCTGATTTGACACCATGTAAGGGCCAGGTTTGCACTGCGTCCCATGGAGAAGCTTTGTCAGGACACAGCTTTCTGTATTGTATTGATTTGATTGTTCTGATGTGTGTGATGTATGCGGGATAGACCATGAGATTGCATTAATAGCATGTTTTGCTGAAGTGGCTGACCCTTGAGTCGGGCACTCAACCCAAAGCCCTTTAACACTGGCCACTTTTCACTGGACCTTCTGAAAATCAGATCCCTTTAAAGGGTTTCAAGTCCCTCAAAAATCCCCTGTGACTTCTGAAAATCTCTAAAATATTCAGGAATTTCTTGACTCAGGAGATTTCCTCTAATGTTCACTCCAAGTAGGGTTGGGCAGTCGGCGCCAGCAGGTTCAGTTCCCTGTCACCGCTGTGTCACACCTAGAATATGTCAAAAAAAAAAAAAAGTCCTTGTGCTGCTTTTGCTGCACTGGATTTTCCTTTGGCTTTCAGGCAGTGGGTGGAATAGTGGGGTAGGGAGGACCCACCAGAGGGGAGTTACTCTTACTCATGCAGGACTGGATGTGAACACCTCCAGCAAGAGCAGCTTCCCAAGCAGCATTTGTGAGGCTACAGCGTCAAGCCCTCTTCTTAAGGTAGACGCTCTTTCTGAGCGCTGCGAATTGCTCAGTCCCGTGGTCTCCTGTCAGCCTCGGTTCGAGTCGAGTGGCCGCTGTAGCGCAGATCTGGGAGAACTCAAGCACTACCTGGCTTTAGTAGTTTTCCATGCAAAAGCTCAGTGACGGGGTCCACTCGGGCATGTTTCAGTATGCGCATCTTTATTCTGTTGATGGTCAAAAATTGCTGGCCAATTCTGATGTTCCTAAATCCTCACTGCATTTTGGCAGCTGCTTTGGCCATGCAGGAATTCCCGAGAATACATGGAGATGAGGTTTCACTGACTTACTCCCATGACATCATCCTCCTTAGGGCTGTTGGCATCTCTCAGTGCGATAGATCCATTTGATCTGTTAAGAATTCTTCAAGGTGGTGGCTCCATCCTCTTGCATATGACTTTTTCCATAATTTATGGCAGCTCTCAAGCAGGTAGCCATGCTAAGGGGAGGCAGGAGACCGTGCTTTTCAATTATTTAAACACTTTAATTAATAAAGAGCCCCGGGGCTTGAGCCCGCAAGTCCTGCTTTCGAAAGTGCTTTATAAAGCTTTCACAGGCAATACAAGAGTGATGGAATTGGGTCTGTCCCTTTGAAACATGGTTCATT